CATTTAAGGGCATCGGATTTTTCTCTAATCAGAAAAGTATATCCCAGTCTAGAGAAGTCATCGATAAAGTTAACAAAATACTTGTTTCCACATATGGTTTTGACTGGAAAAGGACCACAGATGTCAGTATGAATGATTTCAAGTAACCCTTTGCTTCTTTTGGCATCTAGTTTTCTAAAGTTGGTCATTTTTCCTTTCAAACAATCAACACATTCTATCACAGTGGCAGAATCTAGTTTGGGAATTCGTTCAGCTTTGCAAAGTTGAAGAATCCTTTCTTTAGAGATGTGCCCTAACCTCTTATGCCAAAGAATAAAAGATGAATCATGTTCTAACATTCTTTTTGAATTGACATTAAAAACGGACTGATCAACAAACTCAACTATACACTCTAGTCTCCAGAGATTTTCAGACAAGAGGGTAATGCCCAAAATTTTATGAAAACTGTTTTTCTTAAAAATTTTCAAACATACGTCATCAGCAGAGAATGCATAACCATCTTTTATTATTTTAGAAGCAGAGAGCAAGTTTCTTCTCATTTTAGGCACATAGAGCACATCTTTTAGTTGTAACACAAAACCAGAATTTAGTTTTAAGTTTACTACTCCAATGGAATGCACTGCAACCTTAGTCCCTTCCCCCACATAGACATGATACATAGTATTTCCAATCTCCTTTTGTTTTTGAAAACCTTTCAAAGAATTAGTTATGTGAACCGAGCATCCAGTGTCAAACGACCAAGAATCAACAGGTACTTCACAAAGATTTGACTCAACACAGACAAGTACTTGTTCCTTTTCTTTGCTCTTCACAAAATCTTTAAAAATTTCACAATCAACTTTTAAATGCCCTTTAGTCTTGCACCAAAAACACTTAAGTTTAGACACATCTTTAGGTTTAGCTTTAAATTTGATAGATTTTCAGGACCTGAAGAGCTACCTTTATTGAATGCTCTCTTCTCTCGTCCAGGTTGCACATAATTTGCTTCTTCGATCTCCTTGCCTTTCTCTTGCTTTTGCCGAGTTTCCTCTTGCACACATTGTGCAATCAATTCATATATGCCCCAGTTCTTGTCCTGAGTGTTGTAAGAGACTTTTAACTGACTATACTTGGTAGGGAGGGCTTGAAAAATCATGAACACAAGCTGCTTCTCTCCAATGTTTATCTCCATGGAGTTTAGCTTCTCGGCAGCATCTGACATTTTCATTATATGATCCCTTATTGAACCAATATCTTCAATCTTGTATTGAGTCAACACAGACATATACTGGCTTACTTCTGCCTTCTCGGACTCCTTGAATTTCTTTTCAATTGCAGCCAAATAATCCATAGCAAGCTCTGGTTTCTTAATTCCCCCCTGATAGTGTCAGTCATTCCAACTTCTATGATGGAAAGTGCTACCTTATTAGCTCTTGACCACCTCTCAAAATCTGACTTCTCAGCTCTGGTGCTTTGATCACTAATTACAGGCTTGGGATTTTCAATTGCTATATCAAACTCATTTAGAGTCAATAGCAAGTTGATATCCCTCCTCCACTTCTTGTAATTGCTACCACCAGTAAGGATCAGAATATTTGCTAAGTTTAAGGTCTTCATTGATATTGCAGACATCGATGAACCTGAAATCACCATATGAACATTCAAAGTTCTGATTTCGTTTCACAGTCTATTGCACATCAAAGCTTTATAACCAATATCCATATATACAATCTTAACAACAACCAGTTGATAGGCGCATATAGGATTATTGATTTCAGAATAGATCATGAACTGATCACCATATAATCAGAATCAACCATCACACTGATTTGTTCTATACATCTCAGTTTATGATCTTAATAGTGACAATAAATTTGCATAGATTTAACCAGATACAATCATCTTATGAATGGCTTCTTTCATTATACAGACCATTAAGATGCATTATTTTAAGAAACTAAATCATATGCTAAGAATGACTGCTTTCATGTTCATCAAAAAATCATTATACAAATCTCTATGCAAGATTCATGGTATTCATTTTTCTGATCCGAGTTTTGAAGATCACATACCTTTTAAAGAGACAACCATCAATACCTAGCAGCGGAAACAATTTTGGACAGGTATTGAACACTCAATAACAAGATTTGGATTACTCGGATTGCAAGTGAACGGGTCAAAATAAGAGGGACGAGTTAAAGTCCTCTTTTGCAGAAGAACAAAACCCAGAAAAACCCCAAAAGAAAAACCGCGCCGATTTCGAATACCAACAGTCATATTAATCTAACCTAATTTTATCAAAAACGCACCGTTTAGGAAAAATTGTTTTAATATTTAGAACCGGTTTCGAAACCTGATAATGGCGATTTTCATTGACCCGTGCTTGATTGATTTTAAGAACTTAAATCTAAGCTCTGATACCACATGTTAGATTCAATTAGCCAAGATCAAGATTTAAGCCACGTAAAACACAATCAAGAAAGCATAAAACCTTTTAAATATGAACTGATGTATTCACATTAACCTGATGAACCTCCATTCGAATATTCCATTGCAGCAGTTGTCCAAATTCTGTATGTTGCAACTCTTCTCCTCTCTGGTAGAACTCTTAATGCTCTAACTAAGAATAGGACTTAGTTCTTGACTGAGCGTGTCTATGAGAGCAGAGATTACAGCATATATATATATATATATACATATACCTCTCCTAAACCAATGAGGATTTCCTATTACAATCCGATTAGGAAACAACTCATGTTTCCTCGTGTATGTTGGTTCTTCTCCATGACAGATTCCTCTATCAACAAGAACTCACATTCATCTTCCTATAAGGCTTTCTTATACTAATTGGACCAAATAACTGACACTTGTTCACCGTATACTCATGTTCATATCTTTACACACTAATCCATGCATAACAATCAATCGGTCCGGGAACACCAATCCATGCATAACAGTCAATCGGTGATGGTCTTGGTAACAATAGTTGTTAATATAAACAGTAAATTGTAGCAATGGTTCTTCAACATTAATCAAATTGGAGCAATGGTCCATGAACTAAAAATTCATTACCATTGGTCTCTCAACATATCAAAATGTGTGGCTATAGTCATTTTCATCAATTTCATCAAAATTTTGTCAAAATAAGTTATGTTGGAATAACCATTCATATAATTAGGGTCCCTCAACTCATCAAGGTGTGTAATTATGGTCATTTTCGTCAACTACGTCAATTTTTTCTCAAAACGAGTTATGTTGGAAGGACCATTGCTACAATTGGGTTAAAGTTAAGAGATCATTTCTCCAGTTGAATTAAAGTTGAGGGACCAATGGTAATGAATTTTTAGTTGAGGGACCATAGCTGTACGTTTTGATGAGTTGAGGGACCAATGATAATGGATTTTTAGTTGAGGGACCATTGCTCCAATGAGTTAAAGTTAGGGGACCATAGCTACAATTTACTCTAATATAAACTAGCAGATGAACAATTTCATTTATTTATTTATTTATTTTTATTTATTAAAAAATGTAATTAGTTTTTAAAATTAAAAAAAATATATATATTTATAAAAGATGAGACAATAATGGGACAGTTTTTCTAACGTGGACATATTTTTTTAATATATTACATAATTATTGGTTTGTCCTTAGATTGTAAATATTGTGTATTTTTTTTAAGAAACAATATTTTCTACATTAAAGGGAAGAAGTGGGTTGAGCCTCATAATGGGCTAGGAATAATGTTGTTCAAATTCGCCTTTAGCGAGAATCTAACCTAAGACCTCTAACTAACAAGTGAAGAGCAATACCACTAGACCGTAGTACTAAATAACTGTAAATATTGTGTATTAGAAGAAAAGTTAGAATATGAAAAATAAGAATATGATTGTCATTTTTAGAAAAATGATTGTTGACAGAGCCTCTATGTTATAATAACATTAACATAAGCATTTTTATTTTGTTCTTAAAATGGGAAGGAGGGAGGGAGAGAGAATGTGGGTGAGAGTAGGAGTAAGAGGTTTTTGTATTTTAATATTAAATACATTATTGTCCATATTTTTTTTTATAGAAGACTAAATAATTGTTTCACTCTCTTTTGATTGATAAAAAAGATTCTATTAATAAGTAGTTTAGATTATATTGAGTATCTATTTTCAATTAAAAACAAAGTAAAAAGACAAGCAAGCTCAGTCTAACATGGCAAGCACGACACAAGTATAATTAGATATCTGGTATGGGTTGCGCTAGGCTAAAGGTTTCAAATATGAGATGGGCCGACCCATCTTGTTTATTAAATGAGTTAATACGAGCACGACACGAGGCACGATTGAGCCGGACTTAATTAGCTTGGCATGTTGTAATGAGAACGTAGGAACCAAAAAATTAGGGACATGATAGAACCAGAACAAATTAAAAAGAGAACCGCCACATAAATACTCTTGGAGATTATAGAAGGATAGTAGTGAGAATGTAGAGTAACATACTTTTGGAGATATGAACTAAACTTTTAATAACATTCACCCAATGCCCTCGAGATTATGTGTTCAATTTTGGGTCGTTTATGTGTTATACTTGTTATTTTAACAGTTGATCCGATAATGACCCGACTTATTAACGTGTTGACCTGAACCTGTTATTTTCGTGTTATTTTATGTTGAGAAGAGATGAGAAACATGCTCAAATTCATTTGATTGAATATTTGACCCAGCTCTTTGTTGTTTGAAAAAAAAAAATCCCCTGCTTCAATTGGTATTTTTTCACGAAAAACATAGATTGTTTTTACCTCAATTGATATTTGTCTACCAGGAACAAAACTAACATGATTACGAGTCACGACTAATCAAATAAGGTAAAAGAGATCTGATTCTAGCAACAACGATTTTAAAGATCACTTTATAAAGAGTGCAATTTACCGATTTAGAAATCACCTTATAAAAAGTGCATATATAATCCGGTCCAGTTCGATTCAAAATTTTCATTTTATATCTATAAAAATAATTTAAAGCCCAATCAAATTTTCATTCTAGGCTGATTACCAATTTACCTTTCGTGTTGAAAAAGACAAACCTGTTACCGAGCGAGATAGTAAACACCCGTCACTAGGCCAAACCCCACCGTCGTTTCGCTTCTCCTTCAAGCAAAGCACAAAGAACTCCCAACTCGGGGACCTATCTCACCGACCGAGTCACCACCACCGATTCCAAATGGAAGCCCAAGAGGGGACGCAGCAGCCGCACCTCGTGCTCGCAAACAAGCTCTTCCTCCTCTCCCATTCCGATGTCCCGGACATCGAAAAGGTCCAACTAAGGGAGGAGGTTTTTGCCTCCGTCAAAGCCGACGGTAAGATCGCCCGTTTTTTACTAAGCTGAACTGGTTTTCGCATTGCCTGTGCTTTCAATTTCGGTTTTTGCGTATCGGGAATTGAGTTTCGGTTTGGGGGATTTTGTAGATATGGCGCCGTTGTACGAAACCCTAGTCGCCGAATCAATGCTCGAGCTGGACCAGGGCGTTATGGACTCGATGAGGGCGAAGAACCAGGAGGAGCTCAAGAAGCTCGATGAAAAGTGAGTGCTTTATTGAGGTTTTTTTTTTTTTTTTCGATTTTAATTTTGATTTTGGTCCAGATTCTGTTTGGTTACTGAGAATTGTGAGAAAAAGAACTAGGGATTGAAATTTATGCTTTGAACTCTTCACTGTGATTCGAAGCAATGAAAATTTGTAATTGCTTTGGAACTTGTTGAACTAGGCTTGCACAAGTGATGTATTTTTGTTAGATCGGATGCTGATGAAGCATGATTTCTCCATTGACTTAATCGCAATCCGTTGGGAGTTTTACTGTAAATTAAGCAGGTTGACAAGATTTGTTTGAATTGTATAGTGTGAAAAATATTGTTGTTTATACTATTATTATAGCCATTGCGATCAAGTAATTTCCGTTACCTAGTTATATGGTTGGCTTTGTTTAGGATTGCTGATGCGGAAAAGAACTTGGATAACTTGTTGAATTAGGCTTTACACAGGTGATATAGTTTTGTGAGATTGGATGCTAATGGAGTATGAGTTCTCCGGTCATATATCAACCAAATCAATAAATTTCATAGTTGTAATTTCTTTCTTTCTTTCTTTTCTTTTTTGTTTTTCAGCTGGCCTGACAGAGCAGATAAAGTTGGACCGTTATTTGCACCCACACTTCCGTTATTACATGAGGGAGATCAGAACTGTTGTTTATTCTCAGTTCTTGGAGTCCTACAAGAGTGTTACCATTGAAGCTATGGCTAAAGCTTTTGGCATGACCGTGGATTTCATTGATCTGTAAGTGACTGAGTCTTATGGTTACCTCGTTTCAGGTTTACTTTATATAGTTTTAAAAAATTTGGTCCTTGATTTCGTGGAGATGCTGTTAAGTATTTTACGTTTACATGTTTTCTGCATATAGCTAACCCATTCTACGACATACAGGGAGCTATCTCGTTTCATTGCAGCAGGGAAGCTTCATTGCAAGATTGACAAAGTTGCCGGTGTTTTAGAAACCAATCATCCTGATGCTAAGAATTCACTGTACCAAGCAACCATCAAGCAAGGGGACTTCTTATTGAACCGCATCCAGAAGCTATCTCGTGTCATTGACCTGTAGGTAGGCTTTCTGCATTTTGAATGTGGTCATAAGGAACTTCAGAGCATAGCAACTTGTGCGTTTTCACTTTTAATTAGATGAAACTAAGTTGTATTTGTCTTTTTCTCCGAATTTGTGTAGAACCGAAGTACTTGTATCGAGGTTTCCCTTTTCCTTTCTAATTGCTGTTCATTCATGGTAGCTTTTTGAGTGCGAGAACTTGGAACACCTGCTGCCTACTGTGTTTAATTGCTGTTATTTCCCTAATTTCTCATTGTTTGGAGCGTCGTTGGATTCGATAAAAGATGCACAAGCATATGATAGCATATAACAAAAGTACATACATTTTTGTCTAACCCAAGACAAGAATACAGATACATTACAGCAAATCCAGTACAACACCAAATACAGCAAATCCAATCTAAACCACTTGTTGGAACCCTGCAGCTTCCTCTCTACCGTACATTTTCAGAAAGATGGAATTTCGTACAGGAAAGCAACGGCCTCGACAGGGTACTTTCGATGTTCGGTTTTTTGTACGCTTAGGATCTCTTGCAATCCGCCATACATTGACCAGTACTTGTGTCTTGGCTTTAATGTTGCAACCGTGTATTTTCACATCGCCGGTTGACAGCCTGGGAATCAGTAGCGGAACTGAAGGGTGTAGTTGAAGAGTCTCCTTGATCACCGCCTTCAAGTAATGACCCTTGGATGCCTTGTAAGCTCAGCCATCGCCCACTCGAGGATTGTATACGTGGTATCAGTACCCGTAGTAAACATATCATGCGAAGACATCGATGATTAGCGAACTAATTATGTTAATTATCTACACACAAACACAGAGAGTATATATTTGAACAAAATCCAGGATTTATTGAGAGAGCTGCTGCACCAACTGGACACCCACAAGAGTAGCCAAGGCCTACTATAAATTTATTTGATCTCTATCTTTGAAAAAAATGTCATGAATGCAGAGTGGCAGCAAGTGCTTAGCCGATTCATGCGATGCTGTGATGAATACCAAGTCGAGCAAAACCAAATGCAATCCTGCAGCTGTTGCACGGAATCACCACCTATGTGAGGTTGCGTCAAGGCTCTTTAGCTTATGGAGCTACAACCGCAAATGCAAGTGCTATCAATTCGTTCGACAAAAGGAAACCATCTGGATCACTAAACCGAATGTAGGCAGGACTTCTTTCAGTCTCGTCCTCGTTTACTAGCAAGGTGTTGAATTCACCTGCAGCGATGTCCCTTCTCTCCTCGTCCTGTGTACTCTTTCATCTTCTTTGGTCTCGAAAACCTCACGCCATCGGCATAGCCAGCGGAGCCAAGGCCAAAAGCATAGAAAGGCTTGTTCTTCCAATAAGTTGGATTGTGTTCGCAGTGATATCCACTCTTGCAGTAACTGCTAATTTCTAGAGGTTGTAACCTGCATCCGAAAGTGTCCTAGACGCCATCTTATAGAACTCAACAGACCGCGTTTCTGAAGGCAACGGAAACTCCAACTTCAGGACCAAATTCATTCCAAAACTAAAACCGTAGATTTCATCACTCAATCCACTTACGACAACCCGAATTTCGTGCCTTGTTCGACTTGCAAATCATAAACTGACACATGGGTAAGACAAGCTTCTACCGTAAACCTCAAGCTCTCCTCCCACATTTCTGGGGTCTGGTAAGACAAGGTGGCTCGAGCAACCTCACAATATCACTATTTCCTGCACTTTCTGTCGCTCCTTCACTAAACACTTCGCAAACCCTCTCATCGGGAAGTGGAGGGATAGGAGATGATGAGGCAAAATACGGGACCTCTTCATGGAAGGTGACATCCATGGAGACATAAGTCTTTTGAGTAGGAGAATGATAACACTTGTAACCTTTTTGAGTATTTGAATACCCAATGAACACTCATCGAAGAGCACAAGGATCTAGCTTACTCCGTTGATGAGAATAAATATGCACATACACAACACATCCAAACACCTTGGGAGGAAGCTTGGAGATACCAATAGGTGAGATATGTTCTTGTAAAACTGCAAAAGGTGTGCGGAAATCATGAACTCGGCTAGGAGTCCGATTGATCAAATAACATGCGGCTAAAACTGCAAGTCCCCAAAGATAATTAGGGACCAACATTCCCAAGAGCAAAGCACGAGCAACTTCAAGTAAATGGCGATTCTTCCGCTCAGACACACCATTTTGTTGGGGTGTAAACGGAGTAGTCGACTGATGAATAATACCTTGTCACGAAAGAAACAACTCAAGGCAGTGTTCACATATTCTCCTCCGTTATCAGACCGAAGCACTTTGACTTTAGTCTAGAACTGAGTAGATACCATGGCAGTAAATTCTTGTACAATAGATGTCACATCATTTTTATTCTTCATCAAGAAAACCCAAGTTAAACAGGTGCAATCATCAATAAAAGTGATAAACCAACGAAATCCATTTGAAGTAATCTTAGCAGGACCCCATACATCGGAATGTACCAACGCAAATGGCTGAAGAGCTTTATTATTACTTAACGGAAAAACAGTACGATGGCTTTTGGCCAATACACATGTTTCACACTTAAAACAAGTCTCATCATATGAACGACATAGTGAAGGAAATAAAGGTTTAAGATATCCAAAAGAAGGGTGTCCCAAGCGACGATGCCATAACCACAACTCATGTTTGTCCTTGTCACTGCCACTCTGAACTTTATTAGCAAGACTACCACGAACCACGTCTGTTGGTAGAGTTAAGTAGTATAACCCCCCTATCCTTTTACCACGTCCAATCGTCTCGTGGGTTTTGAGATCCTGAAACATACACCATGTAGGATAGAAAGTAGCATAGGCATTTAGTGAGTCCAGTAATCGTCCCACAGATAATAAATTACAATTAATATTGGGTACCAAAAACGCATGTGCTAGGGACAAGGTAGGGGTAAGTGTGATTGTGCCTTCTCCAGTAATTGGAGACGGCATACCATTGGCAGACGTGATAAAAGGGTCACGAGTTTGGCTAGACAACTCATCAAAAATCTTAGAATTATAAGTCACATGATCAGTAGCACCAGTGTCAATTATCCATGTATTGAAATCGTTACCTGGTACGGAATTTGTCACACTCAAATTCATGGAAGGACGAGGCGACTCAAGCTCGTCTGCAGTCACGACATGAGCAGCTTTGGGTCCAAACTTACGGGCCTTGTACTCAGGAAACCAATCTAGAACACCATGAAGCTGGAAACATTTTTCTAAAAGATGATCACCTCCACAATGGGCACATTCACGAGAACCAGGTTGAGCCTTTGCTGCAGGAGGGCGGGAGACGGCAGACTTGGAGTTCGAAGAGCCTCCGGAATGTGCACTCACAAGGGACGACTGACGACCACCACCGCCAGTTGAGGAAGCACCATTTGTCCGATGCTGGCTTGTACCAATCTTCAAAGCAGCAGCACCCCAAGCATAGTGACTTGACGTGTGCTTTCTTCCACGACCAATGCATACGCCTCCAAGACAGAATGCACCGGAGTCATAGCCAAGATACGGCTACGAACACCATCAAACTGTGGATCAAGCCCTCCAAGAAAATCATACACCCTCTCAGATTCAATTTCCTTATGTCGAAGAGCCACATCCTTAGGATTGGTATGTGGGTTAGCACAAAGATTATCAATCTCCTCCCAGATAACATGAAGCTTCTCATAAAACATAGCAATAGATTCACCATTTTGGGTTGTAGTCACGGACTGTCTTCGAAGTTGAAACAACCGGGAGCTGTTTTGGGTGACTGTAAAAGTCTTCCTTGCAGCCTCCCACACATCATATGCTGAAGTACAACGCTCAAAGAGACTTCTCACACTCCGAGTCATAGAGTTGAAAAGCCATATTTGTACCAAACAATTATCCTCTTCCCATTCGGAGTATTCCACAGAATCACCATCCTTAGGAGCAGGTTTTTTGCCATTGATAAACCCCGCCATACGTCGTCCAGTTATCGTAAGAAAGGCGTTACGAGACCAGGAGACATAGTTGGAGCCATCTAATTTCTCTTGTGCAATAGGAGCAGAATAATCACTGTAGGGTCGTTCATCCTTGGTACCAAATGAACCGGAGTTGGGTTTAACATCATCATCACCAGCCATGGTTGTAGAACACACACACCAAATAACAGCGGAAACAATCAACATAGCAAGACACGAACGCAGAAAATTTTCACAGAAAAATTTCCACAGCAACGACAAGATTTAGAGTTTCTCAGATTAGGGTTTTGCACGGGTAGGAGGTTTTTTTTGGTTTTGGTGGGCACGCACGGTCACCAGAACTTTACTTCTCTGATGCCAAGTCAAACAGTATATGGGTAAAATTATGATATATTATTCTCTCTGAGAGTAGAGTATAAATAGGGTTTACAAAGAGTGCTATACAAGTAAGTAGACTATACAGGGAAACAAATAAAAACCTAATAAGGCTAAAAGGTCGTACCCAGTGCACAAGGCTCCCGCTTTACGCAGGGTCTGGGAGAGGTGAATGTCTAATCAAATATAATCCCTATAATCTATACAAATCGCTGTGTGACGAAGCACTCTCTCACATAAAAAGAACGAATACCCAGAGAGTATCTTCATATGAAAGAAATGTTTCCCATCCTTCATTTGCCATATAATCCCCACAAACAAGCTCCACTTGGTCTGGCCTAATTTTGTGATGTATGTCCTAGAACCAGCAAAAATGTTTAGTAAAGATTTTTTCTAGGGATTTGAGGGGTCATGTTTGTGGCCTCAGTTGCATAAAACACGTTCAAACAAGAATGACTACCCACATACCTGAATTCCAGCCTCTCGTGCACGAACATCACGGTACTTCAAACCCAAGTCTTCCATCCGAGCCAAAGCTAACTCCCGAAGATTTCCTTTCACAACCCCAGAAGTAACTAAAGGCATTGGAATGTCTAACTGAACTCTATAAACACGCGTCCAAGGGGGGACCACGGCTACGATCCGAGCTACAATGTCCACAAGTTGCTCAGGTGGGTAATTTCTATACCTGCCCGTTTTCCAAAGCTGATAGAGTCCAGTTGCACGGATCATGAGTGTTGGATAAATTTTAAGCCCATATGCTCTGAACGAGGGGCTCTCAAAGAACTCCTGAAAACTCTCCATGTCTCTCTCCACCCCTACATTTGGAAGATCAGGCATCATGCATGCAACCACCTAGAGCAAATGCATAAAATTATTAGGAGTAAATTACATAGTAGCCCCTCAGGTTTGAGGTCAA